TCAAATGGTCATGTAAACAGCATACTCCGATCTAGAAATCTGATTAAGAAATCTGATAAGAAGAGCTTGATTTTAGCTCAATAATCGGATTTCTCAGCGCATGTAAACTCTTACTCTGATTTCTTTCAGATTTCACAGTCTGAGCATGTGCGAAACAGATGGTGGTATCGGAAATAAGCAAACACTTTTAGAGCGATGCTGCAACAAACTACAAAATACGAAGTTAAGGTTTTAAGTATTCTTTATCTTCTAGATGATGTATGTTAATATTTCCAGGTAAAGTGGCGCAATGTCTTAAAACCTGCGCCATTAAATTTGAGTTAACGTTACGTTTATGTCATGTCTTTTTCTGTGAGTTTATTGGCTGGTTGTAAACCAGAAATCCAATTACTGCCTGACTCATGTAGACCTGGAGTTTCCCATTATCTGATAATTCAGGTGCAAATAAACGCGTTTATTGGATTACTGACAAAATCTGATTTTCTGCAGCTATTGGATTATTAAGTGCATGTTAACGCACTCAATGAGATATTTTTAATATTTGCAATCAAGATGACAAATTATTTGAACAAGCTGAGCGAGTACATTGTGATGCCTCCATGCTGAGGTTTAAAGAAGGGGTAAAGCTGAGCACACAGGAAACACCCGCTGATCATCTGTATTTCGGGCAGAGTTCTGCATACGCAAGAAATGAAAACTGCAATGGACGTACGCAAGCGATGTCGGCGTTTTCAAAAGGTGCGTTCTGCCCATGTACATGAAAACACCCTCCGTCCTGGAGGGTGTTTTCAAAGACTTATGTTTTCAGTGACCTAAAACGGGTTTTCAAAAATATCTGCGGCCTAAACTCTTTTAAGCGATGAACAGTCAATTGTGGGTCAGTAGTGAACGATAAACACAGCATCATCATTGTTTTTTCAATCACCATTCACATCCAAACAGGAGTGGAAAGTGACACGGCTTGCTACTTTTCATATATACAAGTTGTTTGTAGAGAATATTATGATTTTTCTTGATGCATCTCTAAAGGACGTCTTTCGAATGTATTTAATATGTAAACGAGGGCTCGGATCCAATCAGATGTATCATGGTATCCAAGTTGTTCAAAGTAGCCCTTCTTTGATTTAACGCAGCTTTGTACACGCTTGACATTGTCTCAAGCAGCTTCCCGAGGAGCCAGCTGAGATGTCGTCAGCTGTCCTTTACATTGCATGAAAATTTCATGATGAATGAACCAATAGAAAAGCTCCAAAATTAAAATCCCTTTACATTAACTTACATTAAACATTAAGGACATGTTTGCCTCCTCCTGTGAAATTAGCATTTTGGTTATAATTGTTATTTGGGCAGCAATGATAGGCTGAGACCTTTTTGTTGTGGAAATAAATTCATAAGGAATAAACTTCACTATTTATAGCTACCTAAGTAACAAACTTCCACCGTCTAAACTAAGTCTTTAGGCTGAAGTCTAGAACATAGACGTCTTTAGAATGTTTTTAAGATTATGAACATTTTACATTAAATACCGTGAGTCCAAACTTTTGACTGGCGCTCTAGGAGCACAACAGTCAACTTTTGACTCGTGTTTAGATTTTGTGTAATCTATGTGAGGCAGAAGGAGAAAGAAGAAGGAGAAAGAAGAAGGAGAAAAAGAGATTATTAGACAAAGAGGCCATAGAGCACTCTGTAACTGACAGCAGCTGTGGTAGCGCGTTCTGACCTCTCACCCAAATAGGAAGTGATTTGGTCGGAGGGCGTCAGATGCTTCAGCTCCGCATGATATTGTTTACTGGCGCTCCAGACAGGGAAAAGATAGAGGGAAAAGGATGAAGACTGACGAAAAGCGAAAGTAAATACATGATTCATTATTCATCCAGCTGCCAGAAAGGCTGCTCCATAATTCATCTCTCTTTGCACAGAATTACATTGATTTTAGGGCTCAAAGGGCCGGCCTGTCCTGTAGCCTTTCCTCTGCCGACTGTGTGTGTTTGGCTTTCCGGGAGCATCTCTGCACTGAACCTGATCTATCAATCATCCGCTACAGGCTCAGAGGATGAAGACCACTTACAGAGGCCACTGAGTAAAATGAGGGTTCCAGGCCAGGCTGGGCCACTTTTCTCTGTCCTGGGTGATAGAAAATTCAAATTTATATCAAATGATGTTTTCTGGTCTCCTATGAGAAAGATGATATCAAAATATACCAAAAAATGGCAGGATATACAAAATAAATAATGGTATGAAGATGATGAATAGTAAAGGCTACACTGTACAGCAACATTACAGTATTGGTTTTTGATTAAAATAATTTGGGCTAATGGGTCTGTGGGCCCCGTTTTCAGTGTTTACCAAAAGAAAAAAATGATGCGATTTATTATTATTTCTCCTCCAACATGGCCTGCTGTTAGTGGGTATGTGTCTGTGTGTGTGTGTGTGTGTGAGGGTGGACAATATGTACAGGCTGCTGACTGGCTACAGCTGCTAAAGGAGAACCCTACACTGGCCACTTCTGATATTTTAAGCATCTGGTGTTTTTACATAAATTGTTATGGCTGTATTGATTCAAAACAATAATATGGTGGGTCACCAGACCACTGAGTAACAAAAACATCAACACCACACAAGGGTTAAGCCAAAGCCAATGATAATGTGCTGTAATTATCTTACCTCACATTAATTCCTTGGTACGTTATCTGCCTCAAGATTTGATCACTGAGTAGTGATAAATAATTTTAATATAACTTCATTTTCAATGATATACAGCTTCATTAAATGGGAATTCCACTATTTCTGTATATACCATTCATTGTAATGTGAACAGTCATTCAGAGTGGTTTGGTGTGAAATGTTTCGTTGTAGAGAAACTTACTGACCGAGATTTCTTTAAAGTGGTCACAATATCTGCAGTGTATTGCATATAGCCATTTTATTTACTGTCCAAAACGACCACTGAACCTACAGGTGTCTTTTGAGTGTTTATTTGTAATTTTGATAATGGTGAAACTGTGGTAAATCTCAAAAAAATAAGTTTTTTGGGTACCATACAAGGCCTTGCATGTACCCCTCCACGATGGATTTTTAAAAATAGGCCAAAACGTTCTCAAAATTATTGTAAAGGAGTGTTTTGGGCATCAGGCACCGTATTTATAACTATTTTACAGGATACCTTTCTGTGAGGAAGTTTTTAGAGGCATTAGCTTCAGATGTCTTGTTTACTGTCACCACCACTGTGAACCATTCTTTAAGTTTCTCTAGAATGGAGCATTTCAAATCAGACTGCTTAACAATTTAGTTATACACTTGAAGGAATCATCTAGGCTACAGCTTCATTCATCATTGTGGACGCATCTAACATTTCTTTTTTATAGCGTCATTCAAATGAACTGAAATCTTTGTAGTAAATCTTTGAGTGCTGTCATCATAACGGGGTCATTTTATACATGACTCTATTATTATTGACTATAAAATGGCATAGTTCCAGTTCTAAAGTCTGATTGGCTTGGCTGCATTCACAGCCGTTGTAAAATACTCAACATACAAACACCTCTGACCACATCACAGCAATTGAATTCTGTATTAATGCACCAAGTCCTTAACAGTCCTCGTAGTGTTCATTTGATTATCTTTGAATGTAATGCTGCTCTCATGGAGCACAGAGTGCACTGATGAAGCAAGAACTCGGTTTTGTTTGTTGACACTTGTATTCATAACTAGAACCACACTGATAAACTAGCAAACAGACTAAAACACAGCAGACTCAAGAAATCCTCCATTTCATATGATTTGAATTAAAGTACTTACTGTGTGATTCTCTGTAAAACTGTGATAGAAAAGTAAATGTCACTTGAATGTCTTACACACACGTCTGTGTTTTAGTTCTAGCATCAAACCCAGGCTGAACCCCAAACGGCTTCCTCCTTTCTATATAGTGTCTAGTATGTAGTGTGTAAGTTATATAATTCTAAATAGTGCTCTATTTGTCCAGGATGGAATTGAACATATGTGGCTGAAACCCAAATCTCTGTTTCTTAGACATATCATATGGTTGGAGATTCAGCCCCAGCGTGGGGATAAAGACATACAACACCATTAACTTGGTGCTAATATAGGACTGGAAATTCCATAGAGGCGCTAATGAAAATTAGTGTTGTGCTGCGAAAAACAGAAGGTTTTTGCATTAAACAGTGTTGTATCATGAAATGTTCATTGTTATAAGCCATAAAAGTTCAAAGTGTCATTTAATTACAGCAGTATACAATGATGGGAATATTTTTAGTCCTCTTTTAGCAGCCCATGGTTGCTAGGCAACAATAACCTACTCTAAATGAACTTCATGTCTTGTTGGAATAATTGTTTTTTTTGCAATTATTAACAATAACATAAATCATTTATTGAATTTTTTTTAAAATGTATGAGATTTTATGGTGTGCGCTTCTTTATAGAAGCAAGAAGCCACTTGAGGCCATATGTTAGAATGATTTTAGCACAAATAAGGGGGTTTTACTCCACTTCGTGTTGTGCTGACACTCTTACCTATGATAAAATCACTGTAACTCATGGCCACTCTTGGCTAATTGTATAATTATATTAATGAAAGCAGTTGTATCTGACTTTAGAACGGTGGTTGACAGTTTTGAACGGTAGTGTGTGCCATTGTCCCGTGCTTTTATGTTGGTATACCTCCCACCCCTAACTCATTCCTTTGTAGTCTCATTGGGCCAGGCTCTCCAACTTCGCAGATGATTTAATGAAGGAATGAATCAAAACACAGTGACGCTGGCATTTATTTGGAAGCGCAGGAGAATGGAAATGGGTTGTTAATGACAAATATTAATCACAGGAACACGTCCGTAATTGCCAGAGTTACCGTTACAACTTCCGTATAAATGTTTTACTCCTGAGATCCGTGGATAAGCTGTGTGTGTGGGCTAAGAGAAATATGCATAACTTCAGATTAATTAACCTTCTGTCTGTTTTCTCTCTCTCTCTTCCCTCTGTCTCAGATCTAGGTCTGGATCAGTTCGTGGTGAAGCGCTATGATGGGAAGGTAAGCAGTGGGTGGTGTGCGTGTGTGGGTGAATGAGTGGAAATAGAGCGGTTACCTAGCTATTGTGCAGCCCAGCAGGATGACGGCAGAGGACGTGTCTTTCAAAAGCCGCTTCTCATAAAACCCCCATTCTCTCCCTTCAGTGGCACACTTGGGCCTTGGATCCGTCGAGGCACTTTTCTCTCACTTTCCCTGTTTGCTTTGTTCATTAAACCACCTAGGATAGTCACGACACCACCTAACCGATGCTGTAAGCCCCGCAAGTTCTTCTGTGAAAGATAACAAATGTGCATATTGGTGGCAGAACTGTGCTCTTCCTTTTGTCTCTTTCTCCTCATCTCTTTTGTTACACGTAAGGATTCTTGGTGAAGCGTTTTGGAGGTGCAGTGTTGAGCTGAACATGGTGGAGCAGTTTCTTTTGTCGGTAGGGTAGTAACAGTGTTTAAGCCACAGACCTTCACTCTTTACTCTTTTACAATCAATGGTAATTGATTGCAATCAAGGTAATTGGATAATGTATTATTCTGATAATGGCTGATCTGTATTGCACTTTTACCATGTAAATTACGTGAGGCAGGTTCTGCTGCTACACCTGTACCAAAATGTCATAGCACGATTACACCAATCAGGCATAACAGTTGTAGTTCTGCAGTTACAGACTGTAGTCCATCTGTTTCTCTGCATACTTTGTTAGCCCCCTTTTACCCTGTTCTTCAGTGGTCAGGACCCCCATGGACCCTCACAGAGCAGGTACTATTTGGGTGGTCGATCATTCTCAGCACTGCAGTAACACTGACATGGTGGTGGTGTGTTAGTGTGTGTTGCGCTGGTCTGAGTGGATCAGACACAGCAGTGCTGCTGGAGTTTTTAAACACCTCAGTGTCACTGCTGGACTGAGAATAGTCCACCAACCAAAAACATCCAGCCAACAGCGTCCTGTGGGCAGCGTCCTGTGACCACTGATGAAGGACTAGAGGATGACCAACACAAACTGTGCAGCAGCAGATGAGCTATCGTCTCTGACTTTACACCTACAAGGTGGATTGACAAGGTAGGAGTGTCTATTAGAGTGGACAGTGAGTGGACACAGTGTTTAAAAACTCCAGCAGCACTGCTATGTCTGATCCACTCGTACGTCTTTTTGCTAAATAGCCAGTCGCCTCTTACTTTTAGTGTAGCGCTTTATTTCATTCATGACATTTTAAATAACTTTTCGTTTAAGCATTTAAAATATCCGTTTGGTTCACTAAAGACGAAATAATGATATTTATATTGCAACTTTGGCCAATACACTGGGAATGTGCTTCGTGTTAAAAAAAGGCTAATAAAATTGGCCATTGGCCAGGTTGGCTGTAAAGAAATCAAGAATACAATTGTTGATAGCAATATATAAAAAATGAAATGTTCTTGACAATTTTTATAATAAAGCACTAGTGAATTAATAACAACTGTTTAAAAACCTACTGATAACATATATCTCAAGGGCAAGGTCTACTTTGAGGAACTGAAAACACACTTGTGGGTCAATTTCAACTGGAGTGACACCTGGCCACACCCACCGATTGTCAGCACAAGCATGAGGGCGTATTGAAGTCTGGGGAGAAGTGCAGGTAGCTCTAATCAATGGCTGCATAGAGAAGCCGGGAGATTTAGCACAACATGCGAGTAAAAGCTTTTACCAGGCAAACAGAGAGAGAAGCACTGAGAGCACTGGGGACACTGAGGTTCTGTCTGTTGTCTAAAATTGAGAAAACTACTAATAAAATGAGTAAAAATGCTGTGATACATGCTGGACTGAAATAAAATAAATTGAGTGGTTCGTCTGGGCTTGAATGTAGCCCACAAACCAACGCAACACAAAGTGATCCAGCCTATAGCGCCAAGTTTATTTCAGTTTTTTACATTTTTAGATTGTGGTATTGACTTTTGACAGCTAATTAATTGGCAATTTTGCACATTTTTAGTTCTCCTAATGCTGTGTCTTACTGTAAGAACCAGCCTGATGGACACACATATTTCTATGCATTTTTGCCCTATAGGGTAGTCACCTAGACTATTTTAAATTAAATCTACCTTCTGAAGGCTTTCTAATTCATCCTTTTTCACTGTCTCAAAATCTCCGAAAGGATATGCACGATTTGTTCTTGTTTAGTCAAGTTCCTTTTTATTGTTTGACATTTTATATAGCTTTTTCATTATTACTCTGTGGAGAAGCGCAAGTAGCTCTAATCAGTGGCTGCATAGAGAAGCCAGCAGATTTAGCTTAACATGCAAGTAAAACCTTTTACCAGGCAAACAGAGAGAGAAGCTCTGAGAGCACTGGGAGCGATTAAGTTCTGCCTGTTGTCTAAAATTGAGGAAACTACATATAAAAATGAGTAAAAATGCTGTGATACATGCTGGACTGAAATGAAATAAGTAAATTGAAAGGTTGGTCTGAACTTGAATGTAGCCCACAAACCAACATGACACAAAGTGACCCGGCCCATAGCACCAAGGTTTAAATGTGTAGTCCAACAAATTCTGTCCCAACCCATCCTGAGTCAGACCACCATCACGTGGTTAACGAAAAACTCTAAATACACAATAATAATGGTTACCATGCCATACCAACACTTACCATAGCAACAGTGTTATTATCCAGTGATGGCCATCATCATATTGTTAATGAGGACAAAAATATAACTATATTCACATTTTTTAAACTGATCAGTGCTTGTGGACAACAACCCAGAGGTCTTTTATCTAAATAAACTTACAGTATTTTTCATGCCAAATTAAAAGTTGAGTAGGGAGGAGGAATAAAGTAGAAGTTAACGCAGACCAAATTCATTAACCTCTTTAACTCTGTGGAACCACTGGTGGTTCCAAAACGCACTTTGTCATATTCTTTACTTCATAACTTTCATAGTTCATAAGCTACATTCAGAAGGTGGGGGTCATATGAGCTGTAACTGTCTTCGCTCCAGTCAAATAGATGGGTGATGTAATTTTATACCCTTATAATAGAAGAAGCTGAACTCACAATTTTTTTTCTACTGAAAGTCACAATTTTTCTACTGAACTCACATTTTTTTCCACAAATCTGAGCTATAAACTGGATCTCAGATGGTGTCTGTTCAGTGATTTGCACTGTAAAAAATTTATCTTTTTTAAATACGAAGAGATTCTAAGATTTTTGGCTTTCAGCAGTACATATGGCTTTATGTTTATGATCATAAAACACATTTTCTGTTAATTTGAGGGGAATTTTTACAAAAAAAAACAAAAAAAACAACACTCTACATTTATTTCATGCAGTTACTGAATAATTTGCCTTAAGATTTGGTCATGCAAATTCAGATGGAAAAATGAAAATATACCCCCGAGAGACGAATTATTAAAAACGGAACATGAAATTTGAACTTGAATCAAGCCCAGCAAAAATTTGAGAAACGAGAAACACGAATGTCATGCCCCATCAAGTTTGTATAAATATTTCAAACTCTAGTGGAGGGTATTTTGTCGTGGAATCATGAAGCATTTCCCAACCAGGCGCCTTAGATCAGATCACAGAATGGCAATACATACTTTTATCATGAAAGTTGAATTCAGAATTGACTTTCCAGCTCCAGGAACTCTGTAATGCACAAAGGGAAAATAAAGAGAGGTTCTTCCCTAAAACGAGTTCTGACATGGTGTAGTTTGAAATGAGTCAGCTTGTTTTGCACTCCCCTGCACCAGCAGAGAGAAGACTAATGCGAAGCTTTGCCCTCTTTTCCCCTCTTCTGTTATTGGGGGCATTAGCTGTGGGAGACAGTCAGTGCAGAGACGAGTGGAGATGGAGTGGCTCTATATTAACAGGACTTTGGACAGTGGACTCATCTTTGGCCAGGGCCGGGCCTGCCTGCGCCACCCACCCACTGATTAGCTTGTGTGAAAGATACGATAAGAACCATAAATCAAACGTGTTAAAGATGTAGGTGTCATGGGTAACCTTGCCCAACCTTATCTCGCTCTTTCCTTGTCTGGCTCTGCTGTTTTATCTCTTTCTCTTGTGGTATTTCTGCCATTAGAATTTGCATTGTCATTTGCTGTTTGCATAATGCCTCAGCACACACACACACACACACACACACACACACACCCACACACACACACACACACACACACACAAACAAACACGCTCTAATTTGCTGAAAGGAGAATTTGCTAACACATTAATAATAATGAGTGGTTTTAGCACTGTTTATAGTGCGTCCGGTTACAGCCACACAGATCACAGTCAGCATTCTCCACAGCAATCAGCTCAACACATTCACATCTGTTCACAGTGCTCCCTCTCGCGTTCACTCCAGTAGGGCTGTCACAGTTACACAGGTAAACTTGATTAAAATATATAAAATCTACTTTTTTGACAGCAGTATTTAGTAGTGAGGCACTGATATAGGTCTGCAACAAATGACTTATTTTGATAGTCGAATAATCTGTTGATTATTGAAACGAATAATCGATTATTCGGATTACGAATCGCTCAGTTACCAAATAACTCTTGTGTAGCTATCGGCTTTTAAATTTAGCTCAAAGTTGTTTTATGCATTTGCTAACTAACAATGAAGCCGAAATGAGTAGCTTATTTGAACATTCACTGTTTTAACGAACTTTCCTGCTAATACAAACAATAAATAAAACTCCAGTATCTTTTTCCTGTTAAAACTGAAAATCAAGAATGTGCGTTTTACATTTACATTTACAGCATTTAGCAGACACTCTTATCCAGAGCAAGTTACATAAGTGCAAAATGTGCAAAGTAGCAACAATAAAATATAACAAAAGTAAATCAGTTCCCTTAATCACACCAACAGGTTCACCTTTCACCCAAAAACACGGCCATATCTACACATAAACATCACACAAACAATAAACAACACACAAACATGAGCGTGGATCGCTGCGTTATCTCCGTTATATAACATAATGCACTTTCTGAGTGCAATATTTTTGAAATAATGCCGTTTTGG